GACCTTCAAATCGCAGTTGGCATTGAGTAACAGATTAGATGGCTTCAAATCTCTGTGTAAAACATTTGCGGAGTGCATAGCTTTTAAGGCTCGGAGGGTTTGGTAAATAAAGTATTGGCAGTGGTCGTCGGATAAATCTTGGGTGCGAATTACACGATGCATATCGGTCTCCATGAGTTCCTGCTATTGCATTAGTACATTGTCTTATTTCCACCTGATACTGCAAATCTACATACCTGAATAAGGTAAACTTCGGTGAAGGATTCATAGTTTCTTGGCTTCTGGATATCGAGAATGGAGATGATGTTTTCGTGATTGAAGTATCGGAGTAGCTTCATCTCACGGAGTGTTCGCAAACAGAACATAGAATGATCGAATGGAGTGATCTTCTTGATAGCGACCTTTTGGCCCGAAGGCTTGTGCAAAGCTGAACTATAAAGAGAAATCGAATTAGCCCATCTTCGTTTTCTGCAAATTCGCGCCCTTTGCCTCCATTCGGAGGATTGTACGAGTAACAAAGTGGAGTAGCATACCAGACAACACCATAAGCTCCTTCCCCTACAACATCCTGGATATCATATTGTTCGCTGACATTGAAAGAGATCTTTCGAGACCCCGAGGCAGGATTAGGCGCACGAGCTGTCATGGTGCAATAATGGGTATATGAAGCAAGAAGATCGTATCTTGCAGAATTGAAGAACTGGAAACTTGTCTACCAGTTATAAACACTAATAGACAGCTTTACTGAATGATTACAAGAATAAACTGTAAGTGCCGAAGTTGAAGGGTGCTATTTTTATTGTAAATAGAAATGTTGAAGCTCGGAAACTTTTCTTTGTTGTCGTTAGTTGGGGATGTTCCAAGCGATGTCAAAGCAAAGTATGGATTGATTCACCCTTTTTTTGAACCTTGTCTTTCAATATTCTTTCAGCTAACGGGCTTTCTTTTCTCTGGAATAAATTGCTGCTGGAAGCTAAGTTTGTACAAAGACAACAAGCTTTTGATTGAAAAGATTGATTGATCTTTCTTGAAAGTAAGTCGTGAAGGTTGTTCTCAACACTTGTACCTGCTTGCGCTCGGTCCTGTTGTAAAGGTAAAGAATATCTTCAGCTTGTCACAGCTTTGATATAAGTCCAGCAAAGTCGTAATTACCAGAATGTGAGTAGGTGAGATGATCTAGCAGTGAAGAAAGTTGATAGAAGGTAATGGGAATCGTGGTTTATCTGTATGAGCAAGTAAACATAATCAGCATTTCTTGTTCTCTCTTATTTGTGTCCCGCCTTTCACATCTCCTTCTTCTCGCATAGAGACCAACCTCGAAAAGATTCTAAAGCTTCCAGAACAACTCGAGACTTCTTCTAACAAATGCGCAAATTGAATACAAAGATGGTAGACAATTCGTCCGATATATAAACAGTTGGAGAGGAGATATGCTGTACCTGTACTGTAATCTTTCCCAATATGTGTTCCAGACCAAGAGGTTCAGATTGCCCCGCTACAAGGATGAGGTTTCCTTTTTCCAAGAAAGTTGACTTGTCGCAGAGTTGAGAATGATGTTGAGAAGAGATGAAAGTCTTTCAAACTTCAGATAACAAAGTAAGAAAAGAAGAGAGGATTGGAATCCTTTTGAAAATAAGACTCTTTTCCGAATAGTCAAGTAAGTGGTAGTCAGTGGGTGATGGATGTTGTTGAAAGTAAAGTAGTAAAAAGCACGGGTGTAAGTGGTTTTGAATGAGGGGGAAACTTTGGTGCTGATTGGAAGCTTTTTAGTGGAGTAGGATGAAATGGATAAGCTGGGTCCCTTCTTTTTTTCTACCTAATGGGTAAAAAGGTCAAGCAAGCAAGCAAGCAAGCAATGGTTCAAGGTCAAGGTCCAAGGTCCAAGGTCCAAGTCAAGAAAGTCAAAAAGGACTCAAAAGTCCAAATTCAGGGACGTCCGAGAAAGATCTCAAACGGTAGTTGAATATTTTGGTATTTGGTTGGGTATTTGGGTATATATAAAATACTAGTAATTGCCTAATGAGTAACTATGCCGAGAAAGAAGTGGAAGTGGTGTTGGTATCTAATAAGTATGGGTATTGTATGGATATTACACGAATAAATAGACAAGATGAAGACTACCGGTACAATATTATTAGTATCAATTGTGTGAGAATTGATAGGTATAGAGATGACTGACTTGTTATTATTATTATATTTTCAAGTCCACGAGATACATGAGAGACCCCATTTCTCTAATGTTTCGTGGCTATGTTTCTCAATTAGTATTAATCTCAATATCAATATCAAATCAAAGAATCTATCTATGACTTTCTCACACAAAATCGTAACTGTCTCTATCAACCACCAATTGCAAATCCAAGTAACAAATGGCCCACCAAGAATGTACTCTTCGTAACTTCACACACTCAATTCTTTTCTCTCTAAGCGCCCAACTCGAAATGTCAAAATTCCATCACATAGAAATTTCACTTAACGAGGGAGGTGAGATCAAATCAACCTCTCAAACCGAACTCTGACAACCACTGGATTACCACGATTTGAAAATTTCACTCGCTTATGCGTCTGTTTCACACGGCACAGCCGTTGGTCTTTCTCATGGAACCAATCAACAGATATTCATGTGTGTGGAAATTATACCTGGGCATGTGGGTTACATATGTTCACACTCGAGAAGATCCTTAAAATGGCGATTTTGGTTTATATATTCACTCACTACCTACCTACCTAGGGAGTCAGATTCTACTATGGACAGAAATACCATGGCTTTGCGTTTGATGAACGGCTACATACCTACTTGCTCGCTAATCCACAGACTTCATTTCTCTTATCCTTCCGTGGGTACGAAGGTGATACAACATGTATCGTATCATCAGAGCGTCTTTTGAGGGACCATATCTTGGGTAGGGTCCCAAAGTATTAACCAACATTGACAGATACCTAGAGCCATCCAAGACGACGGTCCATATGTATAGCATCGTATATACAGCATCTCATATCCACATTGACATTCGAGCGAGAAGCTTTGCGATCTCTTTCTCGAAAAGATCCATGATCCGCATCCAGAATTGTCTACTATGATCTATGAATCATGACATATACCTCTCTATTTGTTCTCTTGTTTCATTCCATCATCCTCAATCTCCCTTCACAAGCCTCATCATATCCACCGTACAGCAATATAGAAAAACATCACCACTTACAAACCCGCCTTCGTATCTTCTCGAGCAGAAACTGAAAACATCTCATGTAAATTAATCGGCCCATCAACTGTCATCCACTTCTCAAACATACCTACACCCACACGGAGACTCTGGCTTGTTTGTTCGTAAATCCTTCTGACATGAATTGGCCTGGCCGGACTTCCATCATATGGCCCGTGATCTGATCGTCACTCTTATATTCACTCCCATAACCTTAATAACACTTATATGTCCCATCTCATCACCATACCAGATCACCATATAAACATACAGTCAAATTAAACTCCATCATCAAAACACCATGACCGTATATCAACTTAATACCACAACACAGAAAGCACATCCATCCCCAGAGCAAGCCTCTTTAAACGCTCCCTCCCTCCCTATCATCCCTATCAAACCCCATCCATCCCCAACCCCCAAGTTTTGACCTCCTCAATTACAAATTCCAACATCCCCTCCTGCCCAGCACCTCCAAGTTCCAACCGCATCATTCCCACCAGCCTACCCTACGCATCACTCTCCCCACTACCCAGAAACTCAAATCTCATCACCCAATAGATTTCCCCTCCCACACGCCACCCCGTTTGACATTTCTCCAGACGAAACACCTCCTTTCATCATCCCGGTCCTGATTCCTACCCGTTTGGTTTCACTTTTGGATTCTCGCTTTTTGCTTAGGGTGCAGGTAGTCCCTTCTCATTCTCATTCTCATTCTTATGTATATTTTCATTTTCATGTTCATTTATTATACCTACCTATCTATCTATCTACATACCTAGGTATCCATCCACCTATTTACTACAACTAAACCCCAATCCCAATCCCCATCCCTATCCCCATCCCAAAACCACACCTCAGAATCCCAATACCATAAATCGTAATGCACTCTGTACTCTACTACGATACATCCACACAACCTCCCCAATCCATCCCCCAAAAATTCAAGATCCAGATCCATTCACCCATCCATCCATCCATCCATCCTTACCTACCAAGATCCAAGATCCAAGATCAAAACATCACACAAATAAATGCTTAATCATTTATGCTTAATGCTCAATGCTTAATACATACTTTAATACTCCATCCATATCTTCACACCCTACCCACTCCCACTCACTTCCTACTACATACTCTTCGAAACGCCCCCTCTTACTCTTACCTCTTACCTCTTACCTAACTAGTAGCTTCAGAAGCTCTGGACTCTGGAGTATGCCATCTATCGGATTTACAATCTTACGAGTTACGAGTTGCGAGTGAGCAAGCATTTTCGTGATATACAATACATGCACATATATTTACGAATTATATAATATAAACCACAAGTATATCACATACTAAATAGTATATCAAAACCCCCACAAACCCAAAGTAATCAATTTCACATAATACAAAGAATAATATCATCTACATCTCCATATCTTATATATTTATCAATATTCGTAGGCATACCTATCTACGCTATCTATCAAGCCATGCCTACTCGAGTACAATACCACACCATCCCATTATCCCATCCCATCCCATCTGCTCAACCACTCACCCATCAATCACAAGTCATTCGCACCCTACACCATCATATACACAAACACAAACACAAGCACAAATAATCTCATCTCCCAACAAGCTGGTATTCAACTAATGAACATCTCGAATCTCGAAAACACGCTATGAAAATAGGTCTAACTATTAACAACCCATACCCATTTCATCCCAACAATCCTCAATAACCCAGCTCCGAACACCAAACCATGCTCAAAAATCCCATGTATATTCTTTGTCTCATCTCATTCATTACATCAACGCGCAAGTCTTCGCAAACCCCAGCATATTTTTATAATAACCCTCATCATCTTCTTCCCCCGTATTCACATTCTGTTTACTTATGACCCCCGTGACTTTGATTGAGTTTTCACCTTCTGCATGCCACCATCTAAGTCTTTGAATCAACCCTCCATCCGCATCATCCGTACTAATTGTCCACTTCCCCGCGCTAACTTCAACGTCGCATTTATCTTTTGGGAAATGGAATTCGGGGAGAAAGACCTCGGTGGGCGTATCTTCGGATGTTGCTTGGCCGGCATGAATTCGCAATGTGAAGGTGCACTTTCGAAGATCGAATCCGTAGTTCAAAACCCTACCAACTGTTGCGATGGGGGACGGACGAATGTAGGCCTCGGCGGCTCGGTAACCAGGGGAAGTGGTGAGTTCAGGAGGGCTATCAGTTTGCTTCGACAAAATTGAGGGAGTTTTCAATGTTGCTTTCAAATTACCTGGATTGACAGTTGACTCGTCTGAGTTTTGTTTCTTGGTATTGGGTCCAGCTGTGTGGTCTACTAGTGATGTACTTGAATCGCTGGGTGATGAAAGGTTGGCGTCGAGTGGTAGTGGTAAATCATCCAAGGAAAAAATTGAAAGATCCTCGCCATTCCATTGGTCGCCGAGAGAATGTTTATTCTGTAAACCGTTAGTGGAAATCAAGTTATGAAAATTCTGGTGACTCGCCTCGCACATATAAAGCCATAGGGTATAACCTGCCATAGCACTTCCTTCTACGGCAAAGTGATTTGCATCCATTGCCCCTGATTGACTAGAATAATCACCAGTTTTGTAAGCATACTTATCATCCATGTCGTAAGGAATACCAAATTCTGTCAAAACACATGGATGATTTCCCATATAGTCTTCACCCTCTTTCTTGATCGCTGCAAGCTGATCTTTGAAACAATTCCTAATTGCTGTCTCTCCAATCTTTATAGCCAAGGCCGGTGTCCAATAACGACCTCGCAAGATGCCGAAAACATCAACATTCCAGTGACGATTCCATTTTTTGGTCATAAGCGTGACTCCATCATAGTAATGAGGCGCATAGACCATAAGAGGATCGTCGTCTTTGGTACCTTTGATTGACGGGGGAATTTCCAATACTGGCGGCTGACAAAACAAGATTGAGTCTTTATGATGAGCTCTGATGGCATCCCGGTGTTTGCGGTAGTAATCCATAAAGTATGAGTTTGTAAACTCTTCATAGCTAAGTTCTTGCCCTGTTCGAGGATTCTTTTTAAAGTAATCTTTCTTTAACAAGGTATCTGTTGATGGATCCCATACGCCGTGCTGAGCCCAGATACACTCGCCGAGCTTCCAACCCGGATCTCGTTTGTAGCCATATCTTGATTCGTCATAGTCTGCTGATAACCATGTTGTCTCTCCTTGGGGATCAACATAAGTGGTGCCAGATTTGTATGGTCCCATTCCCCCAAAGTCCCATGTAGCTATTTCACATGCTCTTCCGGACCCAGTCAACATGGCTTGGAATGCAGTCGGAGAAGTTCCTTTTTGCAACTTCTGTTCGCTTGGGATGATAGATAAATCTGACCAGCCGGCAAAGCCTCGATTAGGCTCATTCATACTTTCCCAGCCAATGACCACTTCATTTTCGAGATCTCCAGCTTCATGAATCCGCTTTGCAAGGTGGGCGCAAGCATTTACGAAGTGATCTTGAAGATAATCCTGTATGTTCTTACCATCAATGATGCATTTAGGTGCAAAGTCCCGACCAGCAAAGAAAAACGTAAATATCGTTTGACAGGCTAAACGTGTATAATTCGTAGACCAAATCATTTTGGGAAAATTCTCGGGATCTGGATATGTATTGTGTACCACTGCCGCTTCTGTCACAGCGAACTTTTTGGGATCAAGTCCGCAAGCATAGAGAGTCCACATTGGAGCTCCCGATCCACCTGAAAATCTCGACCACTACTTTGTTAGTCTTTTAAAATATCGCCTGGAGGCTGTATACTTACGACATCTTGATGGGGATCCATAAAAATATAGAAACCATAACTTTTTGCTAATCGCAGAATTTCAATGGTATGCTGAATCCACGTTTCATCATATATGCCTGGGCCTGCCGATTCTATTGCCTCCCAGGTGAAAACATATCGTATCGTGTTGTAACCCCAACGTTTTAATCGCGCCAAATGAGTGTGTGCGTCTTCTGGAGAAAATGGGCGAGTATGGAAGTTGACTTGATCTCCATCGAAGAAGTCCTTTACAATATGTGAGGGCTGATTCGGATTGCTAGGGTACTTGGCATCCCCAGCAAGATTTATTCCACGAAGGGTAACTTCACGGCCATGGGAATCGCGGAAGAGGCCATTCTCGATGGTTAAGCGCAGTGGTGGCATGGTGTGAAGAAGTTCTTCGAGGGAGAGTGCGAGAAAGGTTCAAGAATTATTCTCGTACAGCAGCGAGAGTACGAGATGGTTTTGATGCCTGGCAGACAGCGCTTAGTGATCTGCTTGCTTTGATACGATATCGGTGTAGTTCTTGTTATCAATCTCTCTCGATTGATTGAAAGCAATTGTATCTCTATCGTCTTAATTGCAGTACAGAAAAAGATATTTATATGAAGTCGATTAAAAGTCATATGAGTGTGATAGGAACAATTAAACAAACACTAGTACCAATCAACGTATTCGGGTTCTTGGTTCCTTCTATTTGCACCGCCTCAGTAGTTTTGATATCTGGGGGCAACAATGACGAAGTCAGATGGGTATGCGACAATTACAGGGGTAAAACGCACCCAATGAAAAGACCCTGTTGGTCGAACTTATCTCGTACAACTCGCTATCTAAGCTAGATAATCTAACGAAGATAATCCGAGTCGAACAGGAACGAGGAGACATAGCAGGGCAGGCTACGAGTAGACCCCACCAAGAAGGACAAGGCTGTAATCAAAAAATGTATGATGTACCTACCTAGCTTATTAGTGCTTGCTATAATTCTAAATCATGTGTAGTTCAAAACTTACCGTTTGATCTTCAACCCTTTCTCATAAATCAAACCTAATTTGTTGGGATAACTATGCCGGATAAATTACTCAGCAATACAACATGTCAGGAACCAAAGCCGCGCTGAAAGCTATAAATGCTGCAGTTCAATCTCAAAAGTATGATGAAGCTGTCGAGCAAGCCCGGAAGCTTCTTGATTCGGATCCAAATAGCTACCAGGCGTAAGTTAAACCATGTACCACTGCATATGGATGTATATATCTTTCTCACAAGCAATATCTCTCTCTAACTTCCAGTCCGCAGGAATATCTTCTTAGGATTTGCCTATAGTAAACAAGCGAAATACTCAGAAGCAGAGAAGGCTTACGATGCTGCGACGAAAGTCAAAGAAGGGGAGCCACAGGCATGGCAAGGTCTCATTCAGTTATACGAGAAGCAAGGTGGTTCCAGGGTTGAGCAATACCAAGCAGCAGCTCTGCATTTAGCTCAAATCTATCAAGCTCACGACGATAAATACAAATGTCAAGATGTCATTGACAAATTTCTAGCATTTGCCAAGAACGAAGGATCCCGCTGGCAGCATAGGAAGTCCCTAGAAGTCATTCTACCTGATAGCCCAATCTATCAATATCTGGAAGGTCGCGTTCATCATCCCTCGCATACCTATCAAAGCATAGCTCAGATTACCGAATTCGAAGAAAAAGAGCGTATCAACAAGGAAATAGGAGAGCGACGAACAAGATTAGGTGCCAAAATTAGTCAAGTAACAGTCGAAGTAAAACGAGAAGTCTTGAAAGATAGCGATTTGGAAGAAATTTACAATAAAATCATAGACTGGACCACTGATGATGAGATTCGCCGTCAATACGAAGAGAAACTCATTAAAAGATGTCTAGACACTCTGGTTGTTCTCCCGTCCGGAGACTCAAAGACAGAAAAACGATCAAAACTATTCAAGCTGGCTACAGACATGGTTTTGATCAAGCATCCGTACAAGCTGGCCTGGGATATTGCTATTGAGTGGCAAGATCCTGAACATGTTCAAGGCTTGGATGTCAACAATTTGCGCGAATACATAGAATTCTTTCCTGCGAGCGGTCTTGCTCAGGTTCTTCGAGGATTCATGTCCAGTGAGATTTCGCCATTCCCGCCACCACCACGGACTCCAGCTCCCGCGAAGAACGAGAAAGGTGATGAAAGTAGTTCAGATGAAGACGACGGAGGAGGAGTGACGTTGGATGACTTTGCGATGCTTGCAGAAGATCGCTTGGCAATGATGATAGAAGGCATGACGGATTCTCCCACATCAATACTGGCACATCGTCTCATGGGAGAGTATTATCAATTTTTAGATGAGCACGAAAGTATAGTTGAACTCATGCGGAACGCAAATCGACTTGCATTGGAAGAATCCAACAAAATTGGCAAAAAGTTCAAAAATGCATCCCAATCTTTCAAAGCCTTATTGGGTACTGCTCTTGTATTTTATCAGTCGCCGAAGAATCATCCGGAAGCAAAAGCTTTATTCGATGGTCTGTTGAAAGAAAATCCAACCTCAACTCCGGCTCTTATAGGAATTGGTTTGATTTATGAGGAAGAAGACGACTTTGTTGCCGCTATCGACTTCCTTGAGCGTGCTTTACAACGAGATCCCACGAATATCCGAGTGAAGGCTGAAGCCGCATGGGTCAAGGCTATTAATGGCGATTATCTTCGTGGACGTGAGGAGTTAGAAGAGTGCTTACCTCAAATCGAAGCTAAAGATATGAAGTCTCGAGACTTGCTGGCCCAGACACAATATCGTGTCGGTGTTTGCTTGTGGAACATGGATACTTCGAAATCCGCACGCAAAGACAGAAAGGGAGCATATTCATATTTCTTAGCATCACTTAAAAGTAACCTCAATTTTGCTCCGGCATATACGAGTCTAGGGATATTCTACGCAGACTATTCGAATGACAAAAAGAGGTCTCGAAAGTGTTTTCAGAAAGCCTTTGAGCTTTCATCCTCGGAAGTGGAAGCTGCTGAGCGCTTGGCTAGGATATTCGCAGGCCAAGGCGAGTGGGAGCTGGTCGAATCAGTTGCTCAACGAGTTGTCAATTCAGGAAAGGTCAGACCAGCACCTGGCTCGAAGAGAAAGGGCATCAGTTGGCCATTTGCTGCTCTTGGAACTGCCGAGTTGAATAAACAAGACTACTCCAAGAGCATTGTTTCTTTCCAATCCGCATTGCGCATTGCCCCTTCTGATTATCATTCATGGGTCGGCCTAGGCGAAAGTTATCACAATTCCGGACGTTACATTGCTGCAACAAAAGCTTTTCACCATGCGGAACAATTTGAGAGTGAAATTGAACAAAGACAGGATGGTGAGACTTGGTTTGCAAAGCATATGCTCGCCAATGTAAAGCGTGAACTAGGAAATTTTGATGATGCCATTGAGGGCTATAAATCTGTACTTCAGAATCGTCCTGCGGAATTTGGTGTTTCCATTGCTCTGATTCAGACTTTAGTTGATAGTGCCTGGGAGAGTATTGAGAAAGGGCTTTTTGGACAAGCAGCTCAACGTGCGACCAAAGCTATTGAAGTTGCTAGTCAAGTTTTCGAGAGCAGAGCTGATGCTTTCAACCTCTGGCGAGCTGTGGGCGATGCTTGTGCTGTTTACTCTTGGGTTTGGAGCCGCATCAACGAGTTCCCAGATATGAATATCAAAAAATTGTTTGAAGAATGGGCAAATACTTATGATGTTTTCGCAGACGTTGACGGAGTATCTGTTGATGTTGTTTTAGCAAAGGGACTATTTCCTGCCGACGAAGAGGATGGAGTGCGCCGAACTCGATGTCTTCATGCAGCGATTTTGGCTCACAAGCGAGCCATACATGCCTCATCTCACGATACACACGCCCAAGCAGTTGCTTATTACAACCTTGGTTGGGTTGAACATCGTGCTCATGTCTGTTTGGCACCTAGCTTGAAGAAGAAATCTACCAGATATCAGAAAGCCGCAGTGCGATGTTTCAAAAGAGCTATCGAATTAGAAGCAGGCAACTCGGAGTTCTGGAGTGCGTTGGGTATAGTTACCAGTGATCTAAACCCAAAGGTTGCACAGCATTCTTTTGTTCGAAGTCTCTACTTGAATGAGAGAAGTGCCCAGACATGGACTAATTTAGGATCATTATATCTACAACAGAATGATCACCAACTTGCTAATGATGCCTTTACAAGAGCTCAATCTACTGATCCGGATTATTCGCATGCTTGGATTGGGCAGGGACTTCTTGCTCTCATGTTGGGCGATGCGAAAGAAGCCAATCTCCTTTTTACTCACGCTATGGAGATCTCTGGATCTTCTTCTTTAATCACGCATCGGCAATACTCGCAGTCAACTTTTGATCAAGTATTGGCTGCGAAGAATGTCACCAATGTAGCAGACTTGGTTCAGCCTTTGTTTGCGCTGAACCAAGTGCAATCGATGGCTCCTGATGATATTGTCTCAAAGCATCTCTCATCACTTTTTGCCGAGCGTGCACACGATATTTCTTCAGCTGTAACAACCTTGACCACAATTTGCGGAGCGGCTGAAGCCGATTACGAAGTTACAGAATCACCAGAATCATTGTCTCGATTTGCTTTGGCCAAAGCAGATCTTGCTCGATCTCAATTGGCAAATCAACAGTATGAAGAAGCTGTAGAAAGTGGAGACCTCGCTTTACAACTCTGTGATGAAGATAGTGGCAATGAGCTTTCTGCAGAAGATCGTCAGAAATGTAGACTATCGGCTCATCTCACTGTCGGCCTAGCCCATTACTACCTGAAAAATCTTGATACAGCTCTTGAATATTTTGAGCCCGCTCTCAAAGAATCCAAAGGAAACCCTGATGCAGTATGCGTCCTTGCTCAAGTTTTGTGGGCTCATGGCACCGAATCATCCCGCTCCAAAGCACAAGATATTCTCTATGAATGTGTGGAGTCTCATCCCAATCACGTACAATCAGTGTTACTTCTTGGAATTATAGCTCTGTTCAATTCAGATACCGAAGGCATTGAAGCAGTAACTGCGGAACTACAAACTCTCCGCACTGATAGAGTTATCACGGCTGCAGAACAAGCACGTGTTGGCGAAGTTCTTCGTTCCATTGCTGCATTTTCCGAAGAGGATTCGCAGATTCAAGTAATGAGCGAGGTTCAAAAAGATGTGATTCTTTACCCAGGTTCAACCCATGGCTGGTCGAGATTGGCAAATACAACTGGCGATACAAAGGCGGCTGAGATGGCAGTACTGACGGCAAAGAAATCCGTCCCTCCACGTGGAGTCTTAGGTGCTGAGGATTTATCAACTGCGTATGCTGGCACTGGGAAGGTCGGTGACGCGCAGAGGGGTATCATGGTCGCACCGTGGAAGAAAGATGCGTGGGATGCTTTCAGTAATGGTGTCTCTGCATAGTACGCTATATCTCAAGTCGATAATAGTATGATTAATGATCGATTCAACGTCATCGCATGGACGTAAAAAGCATCTTCCTATGGATGGCATACTATCTCATTTATCAAATACAGTATCCTCTAAGGCGCATCACGAATAGAAACCGTTGCTTACGTCTGAAACCAAGTATGTGAATTCATAGCGCAGGAATAATCTGTATTTGATAACGAGTAGTACCATGCAATTGATACACTTTTAGACCTCACGATCACGCAATGTCTCTGTCTTTTTTGAATAATAGTCTTTACCCTCTTCTTGATATTTAGACCGCCCACTGATCTTGATACCGTCTACTAAGTTCCCTCCCAATCTTAATAACTCTAGGATCTCTGAACATTCGAAGCACCGAAACCAGTCTAAAAAATCTTTTGATTTAGAACCATAAGATACAGATGATATTATACAAAGATTCTGATATTAATCAGCCGAATATCAATCTCTGGCCTCAATCGTAGGAGTTATAAACATAAATTGATTTGATTTTTTGAAAATCGCTCGGGATCTGATATATTATATTATGCAAAGTCTAGTAATATCTAAAATGATATAATTTTGAAATTGGGTTTCGGGAGCAAACCTATGTTGCCAATTCAAACATTGGCGCGAGAGAGATGGCAAATTGCGTTTGAGTTGTGGAGGTATAAATGGTCACCATCTTACATAGGTACTACTTTCGCTAACAACTGCCATGTTTCGTCACGAAACAAAATTTCTCGAAGTTCAATCTGTTCACATATGTCACGGTTATTCATAGACTCTGATCTTTGATCTTGAAATGAGTTTCTTAAATTACTCACTTATTCCTATTTGGAATTCCATCTCTAGAAATATCGTGTCTAAGCCTCTTGAAGAATCTAGACTACAGCTAGTGTTCAGCATACTCGAGATGAGAACCCCCTTATGAAACCTCTCTTTTTCTAGGCCTGTAGATAAAGAAAGCAGCAGCACCCACGATCACCGAGCTCATTATCACAAGTATGCCCATTAACCACGGAAGCGACATTGGAATAAGGTGGACTGGATCTTAGTCAGCATCCGCAATTGTAGAATTGTCCGTTCCATTTCCATGTGCCGCGGCGTAAGCGGTAGCCCATGCTTTGTAGTTGTCTGTTGTGATGGTAGTCAACGCACTATCCCCATCCACAGTCGTAATAGTGGTAGTTCCGAAGACGCTCTGCAGGTTGGATTCTAGTGCGACAGTGTATTTATGCATTTGGACTGAATCGTAGGAACTGTAGTGGTTATTGGCTAATTCCCGGGAAGCTGAAAGCGCAGGATAAGACGGGTCTAGAAGGCCATTCGAGAGCGTCGAGGTGGGAGCATTACCAGATTCAGCGAGACTTGGTGTTGGAAGAGGTGGCTCTTGACGATATACGAAGACTGCAGGTATTGGGCTTGTGGTAGGCGAGAGAATTAGATCTTGTGTGGTGGGTCCAGGCTCAGTGTGAGAGATTGTTTCGAGAGATGAGAGAGCTGTGGGTGGTTCTGTGTCCCCAAGGATCATCGAAGAATATTCACAGATTACTTGATTGTCGGAGACGAAGACCGTGGGAGTAGAAAGGTAATGTTGGAAGTCCGTGTTGTTGGTAGGTCTGTGAACTATTAGTTCGTGGGATTACTTAATGAGTGAGTACTACTGCCCACGGTGTGGGTGAACAGAAAGATTGAGAAAAATGGTTAAGAACTTACTTAAAACACCAATCACTTCTAGTAGTGTCGGCCTGTATAGTGATTTGGTCCCATTGAACTGGCCCAAAGTCCCACTTACTTCCTCCTTGTGTTTCGATTGCGAAAAGTGCCTAAAGATACTTAGTTTACGCCAGAAAATCATGAAGGAGGATCAAAGGCAGCCTGAGCTGCTTACCTTATTAAACAGGCCTTGGCCACCAGAGGTTACTGTTGATCATCTTCGTTAGCATATTCTACTTCTGGGCCATAGGCTCTGCATAGCGAATGAAGGTGTGCCGAATGACTTACGATGCTCTTGAGGATCGAATGAAGATTCTGCAGTAAAGAACGTCTCGCCAGCTTGAATACCAGACTGGCCCCTCTCAACCTTCCATGTAACATTATATACTCCAGTATTTGCACTCATCAATTGATACTTTGTGGTGATACGATCTCCGGGATATACTGTATTTTTATCAACATTATTGTCTGGGTGAAAATATTGGGTCAAGTATTGAACCTGCCTTGTTGAGCTTTATCAGCTTGCCAGTCTTCAGGTCTGCATGTTTTATACAAGTCAGCTTTGTTACTTCAAATGTTTTCCACCAACTTCGGATAATATTTCAGACCGAATTGTGGGTAAAGAAAGACAGCAATTACATACGTACAACAAAATTCCAATCCAATGTAAAACCACTCTCCTATACTTCCTTGGTTTGCGACCACAGTTTGCATAATGCCTTGATTGTTCTGAAGTGCAGGCCACACTGCTTGAACATTGCCTGGAATGACTAGCGCGTTGGAGGAGCGAGGAACCACTTGAATACTTTGGAACTTTGAAGTGTCAGCTTATTATCAAACAAGTGGTTTAGTAGATTATAAGTGACCATCTTACAGTTGTTATTGTTGCATTTGGATCAAGAGTGAGATAAAAGAAATTTGCGTTGATATCAGTTGAAGTTGTAGAAGCTGCAAGTCCACTCAAGAGACCCCAGACCAATATGAAAATTAACATAATCATGGTCTGAAATTGAGCCAATGACTCTCGAAAAACGACAAGCATAACAAGAGATTCAGTTAAACAAAGCTTAGAGGAGCAGTTTCGTTGTTATTGGAGTTTATCAGAGAATGAACAGAGTTTATTTGTTGAGTTGAATTTGATGAAAAGCCAGAAGGAAACGACAAAATGATTGCAAGAATGACAGTAAGAAGTTTGATACAATGTGAATTCAAGTACCAAAGAGAAAGCTGAGATGTGTGCAATATATGACTGGGTATTTTATCATGACTGGATAACTGCTAGGTAAACACCGGAGAAAGATAGTTCCGAAATGACCAGATGAAGTTATTCACTACTCGAGCAAGGTTGTTTGATAGACGTGATTTTCTTTGTGGGTAATTCTACACCAAGCACAAACAAAAGTGTTCTAGGAACAAACCTCTCTTGAAATCAACAAATATCCAAAGCTTTTCCCCAAAGAGTGACCATCAGTCGTGACAAGGTGGAAGAACCAGAGAGCACCACTCTGACTACTCTCAAGGAAAATTTTGCACGGACACTAATCATGAGACTCTTGTATTACTTATCACTCATCATAGCATTAGCATTAACATCACTTATAATACACAATGTTTGTGATATTGAGAATGACAAATTTTGCTTCAACGTCTTTAGGGGCAAAAAGTTATCCTCATGGCGTATTTGAAGTTTATAGGTTGATCTCTCGAAATCAAATGTAACATCTAGAGTACATCTGAGGTGGAATTAAGGTTCATCAGCGTCGGCCATCTCGCTTCCTGGTTCAGCCGATTTTATATGGTCGCTCTTGCCGAAATGCAACAGCATATCGACATGCAGATTGATACCTCTCGACTTGATTTTAGGTATTACCTCATCAATACTTCCGTTAAACTTTGGATTAGTCAATAAATTACATTTCTTTTGTACCGTCTACGTCAAGAATCTTACTTCTTCTGATTTAGGCACACTTTTGAGATCTTCTTAAATGACAAGTGCTGGGCTTTTACAATAAGATCGAAGAATCAAAAGGGGACCCACATATGTCAAGGAACAATTACCTCCGTGACTTACCGGTTGTGGTGTAAACATATTCGTGCTCTACTCATACTCATACTCATACTCATATTCTGCTCGTTTAAATTGACAGATTGACCTCGGGATCGACCACTTTTACCCTGGCACACCTAATTCAAGAATGCTAAAGATCTCGGCATACCCCACATAAGGTTATCCCAAGGTAAGAATCTCCACGCGCCCTGCTGTGTACGACAATACCAATAATGGACAAGATATCTTGCAAACCCCGGTACGTCTGAGAAAACGTATTTTCCATTTTCGAACGTGCTCTCTGATAGACCCAGTATCAGTGGCAATGCTATATCCTGTCTTCGCTTAGTCTCGCATACGTAAGATCATATAGCGGGGTAATGCCAAAATTTGGTTGATTGAAGCCTGCAGCCTCGCATTCTTTGAATATCTTCATAATACCCTCGCTCTTGTAGGTTTGCAGCGCTAGCGATGCCGAAGTTTCTGATTTTAGATGATTCCGTAGGGTATCCGCAAAGCCGTCGATCAACGAGCGTACCTTGGTGGCGCTGAACTCGGAAGGCGAGGTCTACTGCGAGTAATCCGCAAGTTCGTGAAGTCCGAGTCCAAACATTGCATGTTGCGCAACGTTGGCGCTTATGCAGCCGGGTCTGTCGGTAAAACTCTCAAGCTAAGCGAATACGAGCTCTTCCTCAACATCGTGGTGATGCTTCACAAAAGAGCACCAGGCTTTGACGAAGAACAAGAAAACTTTAACACCTTCTTCGCTTTCACGTAGGGCCCTTGAAAATACATACACTTTATGCCTCTGATTTCACAATCATGTAGATGGGCCATTTTGTTTGTGGGGTAGATTGCGGCATGTTTTTTCTTTTGATGTCAATAGTCAATCGACTTTCCATTTCACGGGGTGTGGATGGCTATTGACTGTATCTTGAGTATTCCCTGGTGTCTCCGAGAGCTTCCAGGGGCCATCTGCGCATGATCTCTGGTTAAAATCATCGAGTTGATTTTTGAGAAGAAAAGTTGAAGATGATTATCGAGGCAAGATATAGCCTCTTAATGGAGCGTGCTTACTCATCAGCAACAAACAAAATTGAATTATTAAAGGCTGGACCCCGGATATACTAATTTGTGACTGGCAGTATACGAGTGCACAGCAAGATGTATTCATTGGCTTTAAAAGATAATGATCACATGCATATCTATCATAAAGAATTCTGTCACACAAGCCTCACAAGAAGACATGAAATTATATCCATTGCAATTCGGTTGTATCACGATTTGAAGAAATACCCCTAAAACCAGAAACACAAGACCGCTTCAAGTAGATTATAGCTTGCCAACTTCAAGCCACCAGAGATACCTTTCTAGAAATTGGTCTCGCATCCCGTTTCTTACTTGCTGTCCTCAGCTTTGTCACGCTTTCCTCACCTTAACCTCTGAAAATGCGGTGCTCGTGGAGAGAAAGGAAATAATTCATGGACAGGATATTCCCGAGTATATACGTAATTGTTTATTCCGAAATGTAGAGAAACTAAAATACCATGCAAATTCTGGATCCTCGTTTGAAGGAGCAATTTGATGCCAAAACACTTTCAATAAGAAAATTCGCACGAAGCAGAATGCTCACTATTTTACAGAACTAGAGTTAAACATATCCCGGGTAGAATAATCCCAACCAGTAGATATTTCAATCACAAATAAACAAGCTACTAGAAATGCACATCTACAAAAGCGTACTCAAACCAGCTGGTCATCATCTTTACTATTATATTCCACACTGACAACAACTCGACCCGAAACTTAAAGAGTAAAGTTGAGAATCAACATTCATTCCTAGTGACTCTGAGATATCTTATGAGTAGTTGCAAAGTCTAATTCCCAGAATATCTTCGCCCGCGCATCCATAAGACTCATGAGCTATTGAAGAAAAAAATCACATTACCTGTGCTTCCTCATACGCTGCGTTGCGTTACTTATCAACCACAAAGCCGGGAGGTTTGCAGAAGGGAGCCGGGTGCTAAGTTTATTGTTTTCATCAGTTTCTACTCCAACATTCCTCTCAAACTTCATAGTATAATGACCCTATCTCCTGACACATCTACTGACCATCCACTAAACCCAAAGCTCCTCGCTTATTCTTCCATTCGAATTGCCCAACCAATCTCACCATGTATCTTTTATCTAAACCCTCTACACACTAATACCAATCCAAATACCAATTAATCCCATCCCATCCCCTTCCAAATCCTAAATAAAACAATCCATCACCCAACTCAACATCTACAATCCATCCATATCATACAATCGAACACCCACCACTGGAAATCCCAGCGATGACACATTCCACCCCTTCACTGACTGTATAGATCCTCCATATCTCAATATTGACTCACATCACCACCATCACACAATCTCCACTCAAATAGAATATGTACTGTATCATCTTTTCCATCCCTAGAATATTAAATATATATCATTAATTCTCATCATAGATAAATGGATAATTCACCTTTCTCGCATTTCCGTTACTCTCGAGTACGAATCGTAGTTAAGATAGAGAGAGAGAGAGAGAGACATCCTGATAAACCTGAAATTACACAACAGGAGAGTTCAAAAATGAGTACCTACCGCGCATCATACTCTTGTCTTGGTAAGTATCAATTCTCCTTCTAATTTTTATAATAATGTATCTATCTATTTCAAATCTCAATCTCATCACAATAATCCACAATCTATATGCTATCCCATAACTCTTAGATGTTCTAGTACCGAATCCTTCCTCTTCCCCTTCCATTTTATTTCCTCACCCCCTCCCCCTTTTCACCTCTTTCCACATACATTCCACATCCATAAATTCCACATTCCACCCCATCCCCTCCTCTCCACAGTCATCGCAATATACATTCTAATCACTGGATACTAACCAACCAACTACCTTTTTATATATATTTCTCGAATAGATATTTCTATACTGGTACGATAGAAATCCTACTTTAATATTATCATTTGTATCTATCTTTAATTGAGATAGCTATCTATACATAAATCCCCTCCTCTCTATCCACTAGCTTCATTCCAAAAATTAAAACTCTTGATGGTTTTTTATACTCTGTTAGCATTTTCTCACTTCCTCACTTCCCACTTGCCCATTATACTATTCTAACTTATTACTCAAAAAACATATATTCATATCCACATCCATATCCATATCCACAAATCTCTATATTACAATATTACATATAGCATTCATCTACTCTACTATCTTCCCAACCTATCCACCTATCTGCCCTCCTCCTCCTCCTCCTCATCTCAAATACCTATCTACCTACCTACCTACCTACCTACCTATTCTCCCAACTTTCCAAAGATGCAAAAGACTCCAAAGACTCCAAAGATTTCCTTCCCCAATATCGCTTCGCTAGTCGTTAGTCGCTACTGTAGTCACAAGTCACAAGTCATTAGTCGCTACTCGCTATTCGCTACTTGCTAGACACCATCTAACCAAACTTCTCGTATAAAGACCTACGACCAACCAATGGGTAAAGACTAATAAATTCTCATGCACAAAATTAGAGTACACTTCATTCATATGCATACATGTAAGCAAAATATATTCAAATCCATTTGTTCATTTGGATTTCATTTCATTCAACTCATATCAATCGTCTTCATCTTGATCTTAATCTTAATCTTTACATCTTCATCTTGTTCTTTTTCATTTCATTTCATTTCATTACTTTCAGCTACACTCTCCTTTTCCCTTCCCCTGATTCTACTTCCTCAAAGAGAATCCCTTCCTTCCCTCCATTTCCTTTCCATCTTATCTTTATACATCACAACCTAAAGTCATTCCAAATCCAAAAGTGTGTGATGATCCCATCAATTCGATTCGATCCAATTCGAATCGTGTCTATAACGACAGATGTAAGCCCGAACCAAAAATTAGGTTATGCTATGTTATGGTAAACCATTTAGGAAATCCATCTATAATCCCTTATCCCACGCTCATTACATCCATCCATGACATTAGAATTCCCTAATTTCCCATCATCTTATCACCACCACCAACAAAACTGAAGTAATAAAGAATAATCTCAGAATCTATATTCAGCGAGAGACTTTAAAAGGTAATTCTCATTAAAAATATGAAGAGAATATACATGTATAGCGAGCCCAGCACAAACTTTTCTCTATAAAAACACCCCCTAAGAGAAGAGGTAAAAGCGGCGGTAACTCTAGCGATAGTTGGACTGTTTATTCACACAAAGTGGGCGAATAAATAAATAAAAGTGCCCATGTCCATAATCAACCATGAAAGGTTCATCATGGACTGTAAGAAATGAAGTTGAAATCGAAATGTTTAGCCAGAAATCGCTTGCCATGTCAAAATGACGCAGCAGATCGGCATGGTTCAGTTGATTCCGGCAGTATTATCATTAGTATATACTGTAAGGAACTCGTGTATCCAAATCTTCGAATTGAATGGTCCCGAAAATAGTTAAAAGAGGTATATGTACAAATGTTCGAACTGTCCAGTGATCCAGGGAGTGTCGGAAATTGGAAGTCGAATTAGGAGAGAAGTCGCTCATGTGGAAACGCCGTAACATGATGATGCCGTAAAATCATAATGAGAAATTCTGTCAACTAGAAGAGTTGAGAGAAATTACTCTTGCCGAGTGCAATATTATTGCAAACGTAAAAAGATCACCTAACAACGACCTCACTGAGCTCACTATCCGAAGCTTGAGATGCCAAGGTATCACCTTCCCATGCTGATGCGTTTTCATCAGTTGGGCTTCTTGATCCAGAAGAAAATGAAGAGGATGATCCCATGGTCCATTCGTCACTGCTATCGTGACGGAAATCTTGATCGAGAACTGCAAGTCCATATTCGTAAATTCCGGTGGGTGCATCACCTCTCTCAACATAGTCGTAATCCCAACGGAACATCTTGTCTGCTTGGATTCTGGGCAAGAAGTTTGTCTTGGAGATATAGAAAGCAATGGCGGCAAGGAAACCTCCGGCTACGAGATCAACGGCATAATGGTGGGAAAGATACATGGTTGCCCACCACATCCACATGGCGTATCCAATGACGAATGGTCTGAGTTTTGGGAAGCAATGGCTCATGAAAAGTGCTTCCAATACTGCATTGCCAGAATGCAATGATGGGAAGGCTCCAAACACCAAAGGGGATGCGGTAAAGTTCGTTGTGTACATATCAAAACCGAATAGTAAATCGATTCGTGCAAGACCTGCAGGTGATCCTTCCATGGAATAGTTGGCAGGCGCAAGACCATACAAATTCTCATACCATGGAGGCGAACAAGGGAAGATCAATTGAATGGCAACCCCAATAATGTTCAGATAACCGAAAGTTCGTGCGAAAACGGGTACGGTACCGGGAGGACCGAAAAGGAACATCAAGGCGGCCCAAACAAACGGTCCTCCAAAGTGTAGAATTCCATAGGGCAACCAAGCTAGGACATCAAGAACAACATATTGATGCGCTGAGAGAATGTTGCTAATATTTGCGCCATAAAAGATATTTTCGAGGGCAGGTAGGACTTTAACCCAAATATGTGGTCGATATTCGGCAGGAATAAATCTATAAAATCTGTTAGAAACAAAGCGGTCTGGCATGTATTTAATGTTGGAGGAGTTTCAGAGTAGTTCAAAGAGAGCGACGAGATGAATCGCACTGTGAATTGGAGGGTACACATACCGAGCATTGAAAAAGAAAACCAACCAGGTGAAGATTGGGAGGACTGGCAAGAAGAATTGTCTTGTCACTGGCATAAGAAGTGCAAGCATTAAAAGCGTAGCAGCTC